GTCGTTATACGCGCAAAAGACAGTTTTCAAACAATGTTTGTCGTAATTCGTATTCTAATATGTACTTCCACATTATTTCGTCCATCGATGCCCTACGAAATAAATTTCGGGTTACTACATCTGATTTAATATGAAGAACAGTTAAATGTTCGCAAAACACGGGCTTGGAATTTTGGAAGGTAGTGAAGTACTTATTTTCAAACGTTTTGTCAAACCATAGCAGTGAAATGAAGGAGGAATGTAAAACACGACATAATTTAATAAACCAAGGAATTGCTGTTAAACTTAAATCGCTAAAGTTTACTTTGAAAAATATTCAACATTCTCAATTTGTTTATTGAAATATTAGACATCGGATCAACAGTTCGCTCTTTTTTGAAATACTTCTAGCGTGGTTCACTTAAGCTAGTCATGGAATCAGCAGGAGGTGGTCGAGGTGGATTTCGAGGTGCTTTTGGAGCTAGAGGAAGAGGGCGCGGTCGAGGACGTGGTCGCGGAAGAGGTCGAGGCCGTGGGGTTGTCGCTAAAGAATGGAAGCCTGTAACTCAACTAGGCCGACTGGTATACGATAAAAAGATAACAACATTGGAGGAAATATACATGTTCAGTCTTCCTATAAAGGAGTGTGAGATCATAGACACACTCCTAGGGTCAAACCTCAAAGATGAAGTTTTGAAAATTATGCCTGTTCAGAAACAAACTTGCGCCGGTCAGCGAACTCGATTCAAGGCGATTGTAGCAATGGGTGATCACAATTGCCATGTCGGGCTTGGTGTGAAGTGTGCAAAAGAAGTTGCTACTGCCATAAGAGGGGCTATTATTCAAGCAAAACTGTCGATTATACCTGTGAGAAAGGGATATTGGGGTAACCTAATAGGTAAACCACACACTGTGCCGTGTAAAGTAACGGGGAAGTGTGGTTCTGTGTCTGTGCGGCTTATACCTGCACCTCGAGGTACAGGAATTGTTGGTGCTCCAGTCCCAAAGAAGCTTTTGCAAATGGCTGGTATCGATGACGTATACACAAGCGCTCGCGGTCAGACATCTACATTAGGAAATTTCGGTAAGTTGCTCTAGTTTTGTGGTAGCTAATTAGTATTTAGCCAAAGCAACATATGCTGCCATACGGGCTACTTATGAATACCTTACTCCCGACCTGTGGAATGTTACTCCAAAAGGAAAACACCTCTTTATCGAACACTCGGATTATCTATGTAAAGTTGCAAAACAGGTTTGAATACAAATAAACTTTTGTGGAAATTATTTTTTTCTGTTAATGTAAGTTTCTAAGGATATGATCCGTTTTTCTTGCAGAAACGTATTTTCTCGTATCCATTCCAGGGTACACCTTTGCTCCGGGTTGAGATTGACGGTTCTCTAAAATGATAATAGTTAAACGGAAAGTAGTGATGCAAATGGATTTCATATGATTATTCATAAAGTAAATATCATATTTCTCAGGTATACACTCACAAATAAAGAAACTTACCGGCGCTGGTCTATATTGCACAACCGTTCATGGGGAAAACTCCAACGGTGCGTTCACTTGTGAGTTACCAGAGATGACGTCTGTCATTAAGATGAAATTTACGTGATTGTTTACAGTCTACTGTGCTTCACTAAATGTCATCAGTCACTGTCTTGTGATTACTTACTGTGAAAGCTGATTATGTTAGGTGCAAATGTATCATTGTCATGTGGTATCCAATATGGATATAACTGGTTAGATTAAGTCAATGTAAGGCATCACACATTTCTTACTGTAGTGATTGAATGAACTGGAATCGAAAAGCTATGGTGTTAAATATGCTATAAGGGCAACGGACACATTTAATGTATTGAGACTTGATTATTTCAAGCTCCTTGCTTTATGATGGCATAAAACGCCAGGCAGCTTAGCTATCCACTGAGTAGTGCATATCCCGGACTGGGTCAAACTTGCTGTAGGTGATATATCATGATTCAAAATTGTAACGGTGATGTTAAAACCAGTTGGTCGGATATGACGACCCGACAGTATTTGAAGTAGAAGACTAGTGTGTAAATGGTGCTCATCTGTACATGATATAAAATATTCCTACGGCGTAAGATGTGTTATGAGGTTGTCGACCAATGACCGTGTTTAGTGCAGGACAGTTAGCTCTCTCCTGCTCTGTAGCTGAGGCAGGCACTAACAAAAGACTTTTAGAGACAACTACCTTTGATCATAAGTGTTAGCATCTTATCTCTCGTCTTAAGTAGAATAAGGTTGTAAGCTATACTGACGTTCAACGAAGTGTTAGATGAGTACAAGTCCGTCAATGAGGTTGCTAGGCAGCTCGACGCTGAAGCCACCGGGTTGAAAATGTGTCGGTGGTCTAATCAAATTGTAGCTTCAATCCAGGAAGTCTGTTTGAGCCATGTGGGATGTATAGATAGTTTAACTGGGACCCTCGAGTTGCTCTGAGGTCCACTAGCTGCAAACGTTGGTGGTATGATTCAAAATAGTACTCGATGGTATAAATGCATTCACTCATTGTGATCTCTCAGATCTATTAGGTTCCTATTTGTCTGTGTTTATTATTTTGCCCCTGTACATTTCTGGTCATAACATTTTTTGTTTAATTTCCTTTCCCGTATTTCTGTGTGGCATCTGCAGTATGACAAGCTGAAATACCCTAGTTTCGTGTAAATTTCTACGCCATGTTATAGTTACTGTTTGAATGTCGGATACTCCACTAAATGCTTGTTGCCACATGGTCCATTCGACAGAATTTTTCTCTTCATCTAGTTATGAAACTTATCTCAATTAGCCGATTGGTGTTAATAACTAGGCTTCATTAGAATCGCTCTACTGTGGTAGTCATGCCTGCCCATTAAATAAATACTTTTGTACTCGGAATGGTTCTCAGATTCAGTGATTTATTCATACTATTATCAACTACTGGATGAAATTTTCTACACCATTCTCAATAATGTATAGACACAAGGTAAAATAGTCTCTTGGAAGATGTCATTGTTGACTACATGTCGGTCCTACACTAGATTTTCATAATCATATTTCATTGTACATAACGCTACCGTTGGAACAGTATTTCGGGATAGAAGTGTTACTTTTTTTCAACACAGCTCATCATCCTGCTTGCCTTCAGTTTCTGTCGATTCAGTGAGTGATTTTCGCGAGTTTCATGCTTAAGAAGAATATTACTAGTAAATCGGACAGAATTCTCAGCATTTAAATGAGGACTGGATAAACATACTTCACCCAGTCAGTGTGTGGCTGAAAGACTAGGTCTCGATAAATGTACAGAGGTGTTCCTATTGCCTTAAGCACTTGACTCAACCACTGGTCTTTCGTTTGGCCAATGGGTAGTATCATTGGCTCACAAAGTCTGATAAGTGGAAAATCTGTCCAAATAACAGGAGCTAAAGTTTGCGGAGATCTTCGTAGATTTGTCATGTTAAGGTGCTGTTGTTACTTTATTCAAAAAGGTTTTTAGGCTCGACTAAAGGTGTATGAAGTCATAGGACTTTACGCGTTTGTAAGGCATTCACATAGTACTAAGTTCCGGTTTTTATTTTCGTAAGCTGCACGTATAGTGGTGGCTACTGGGTGAAGTATCCTTTTCCTGTATATCTGAAACCGATAACAACTAGGAATAGTTGATTAAGTCATCTGTTCTAGTGAATAACCACCAACTGCATTTCGCTTGGCCTGATTATATGCATTGAAACAGACTACTAGGAAAGCCGTAAATATTGATTAAATGTCTCATAATTGCTTTTACTGGCGCAGATTCATTTGCTATGTACACTTCCAGGTCCGTTAAATCGTGATACCTATCCATGTAATTATGATACCTTCCGTTCACAATAGTTCCTCTGACTTTTGGCTCTAATTTGTGAGCTATATAGTGTGGAAAGTGAAGTGCTGCACTTCTGTACAAGGCTTCACATTGGAAACTCAGTTTAGTTATATTTATAGTCAGGCGTTTTCTACCAAACTTATAATTTTACACTATAAACTGTACATGCGTAGATGAGTTTTAGGAAGAGACCAACCTACATCGCTTATTGTTCCTACCTTTTGCAGCGCCATTTAAGTTAGCCCTCTACGTTATAGCACACTGCCTACGCAACAAGCGGTGGTAAAAGGACTCGCACAGTTAGAAGATACCCAGCCTAAATGTTTAACATTCTGTTCGTTTAGGGTTAGGCTAATAAACTTAATTAGCTGCTTGTGTGCTTATCTCCGGGACACAACATTCGTAGATTTTCAAAACTGAAAACAATTCACCGACGGTGAAGTAATTTATGCAAAGTTACTTCCAAAGGATGTAATGATAGCATTCATGGATGTATAGTGGGACAGGTGGTGAAGAGAAGTCAATTTGGCATATAAAATCAAGTCGTTTTAATCCATGGACCTATTTACATCGTGTAGTTCACTTCCTTAAAGTACAGGACTACATATATACTTGACGAAAGCTATGACTGGAGCCTTGAATTATCGATTTAAACAGTTGGCGTTGAGTCAGCGAGTTTGGAGTTAAAATCTACTGCAGGTCCAGAGAGTTAAGAAAATATTGTCTCTTGTGTGACTATGTATTTGTTGGCTGATGGGTTGCACACTGGTTTCCAGCAATAACTTAGTCTGCAGTGTTTCTGTGAAACATCTTATACATTATTGAATGTGTGATTGTAGTTCGGTGATTTCTTAGCAACAAATAATGTGTGGACGCTTTTTGAACTGTATCTACATAATACTATATCTAAAAATTACAGAGTATAACTCAGTGGCATTTCAATTTAGAAGAAATATACAGAGACCGTTTTCTGTAAACACTTCTTTTTGACCTTCCACTTTAAGGTATGGTTAACAATAATTCGTTGGAGAATGGTGATGGGTAGTAGCAGAATCTAGGATGTGCTGTTTGGGGCTTGTCAGGTGGGTAAACGTGTTTCTGAGGAGTGATTATGTCCCCGCAAAGACTCGAACACAAAACCCACCTCTTCAAACGTTATAGCGTTATTCACCTGGTTATAAGGGCTACTTCGTGTACACTTGATGTGATATGAAATTATTTATATATGTATGTGATTTCCCACTAATATACCAGTCTCATTTATAAGAACAACTTTGTTCGATGGATTCGGATTTTCTGGATAAGCTCTGAAGTACCCATGGCATAAGATGATAGAGCATTTAAACAGTTTTTGCAAGTTAAACACTAGTTATTTTGCTGCATTATCCGTACGTTTGTAGCTGTTACTCCTGAGAGGTAATTTAATAAAGATGTTTGAGTGCTCAACTATGTACAGTTAAATTTCATCGATGATGAAAATAGTAACATTCGGAGTAACTGAAATGGTTTTAGAATGAATTATACCGATCTGATTTTAATCACCCTAACGTTACTAACCTACGAAGTTGGTATTAATACAGAGTTGATTTTGATTTTCTGTCGGAATTCATGTTACGTAATAGTGTCATCGCATTTATGTGGACTTCTGAGGAAAAATGTGAACCGGTTAAATAGTGGTGAAAAGTTATATATTTGGGTGTACATATTTTAATAGTAGGTGGGACAGTGACTATAAAAGATCAAATGAAACTTTTAATTCTGGTTGAATCATCTAATACAGCTGTTTATTCACGATCACATCCGTGAGTAGACCTTATTTCTTCTGTGAATTGGTCATATACATAAATGTTAATGGTACTCAACTTATGTGTAAGTTACGTTGACTAACTTGTCTTTCAGTGAAAAGATTGGGTGTCTGACTGTGTTATTAAGAGTACATAAACCGCAATACTGTGAAGTCTTGTAGCAAATGAATCAACAATATTCAAATTAAACTGAAAGGTAAAATAACTGGTAATTATGCGAACTTCCACTGCATGAATTAATTATAGCATGCAAGTAAAATGGTGTTGGAAATGAAAGTATCTTAAAAGTAATCCTAAATAGACTAAATAGGGGTGTTCTATTAACGGTTACAAATGTGAAATTTTGACAGTTTCATCTAAGTGCCTGATATGAAACTAATTGATCTTAAATTTAAATCGTGTTGCATCTGCTCACACCTGAGCCAACTCCTAACGTCATAGGCTCTCACAAATGAAGTGTCGCTGACAACCTAGTATATGCTAAACCTTTCCTGAGAAAACCGCTCACGTTACTGTTGCTACTTTAAAAGACTAACTGTTCTGCGTTATGTGGGATTTCGGAAAACGTTGGCTAGGGATAAAAACTA